GACCTACGATTTAAGTCGTAGATTTTAATCGTAAATCCAAACATTTTTGTCGAAGCGACCAGTATTGTCTTTGTTAAAAGCAATGAAGAGGCGGAATGTCCTAGTATTAATCGACAGATTATACATAAAAAGTTATAATCTGTATTCAAATGTTCTAATCATCAACATCGCAGCAAAAGGAGCAAGAAATGAATAAATACAGTAATTAAAGCCCTGTTTTTGTTCATTTCATTAATTTTATTAATCATTATTGGCTAACAATTTAAATTTTTTGTTAATACTTGAAAAATCTTATGATCGACTTCCAAAATTAAAAGTTTCAAAGATTATTTTGAAAAACAGAAAAGTCCACTTCAGCTTTTAGGCTTAGTTGTGTCAAGGAGAATAGTTATGTATTCAAATTGCATTTCTTTTTCAATGACATCACAAAATTGTTGTATTTCAGACATTCCAGTACAAAATATGGGTCAGAATTTGATACCAAAGGAGGAACCGGGCGAAGGCACCATACCTCAGTATCCGGATGGAGGTCAGTATACAAGATTATACATAATTATGTATAAAAGAAAAAGTCACATTGGTACTTGCCGTTGGTAGGTTTCGAACCCGCATTCTAGTGCATGAGAAGCGTCTTCAATCTCCGGGCAACCACACCGAGGTTATAGTTTGTACAATACATAAATCCTATATCTGTTTTAGATAGCTACGCTTAGATCTTTCAAACTTCGCAACGGATTTTGATACAGTTTTTTTAAGAGATAGACTTACGCTCTGAATTCTGAAAGGCTACTCAATTTAAGTTGCGCTTAACTATAGTTCTGTCGCTACAAATTCTTTCTAAAATGACAGAGACGGCACGATATTTAGACTACAAATTAAAATTGAGTAGGCTTTCGGTTTTCGGGCGTTAGCGTGATACCTAATTATATAACATAACATCACGCCTTTTATCCCCGAAGGGTAAGGTGTTGATTATGCCACTGTGCAATTTAACACCCACTTTTCACTATTTGTGTTATGAGTCCCATGTAATAGGGGGTGAGCAAAGGCTCACCTTGGAGTCTGGAATTGTGTAATTAATTATATCTTTTTGTTGTATTTACACTTTAAAAGAACATTTTATAAACTAAAATATATTTTCTTCTTTTTCAGATAAGCGGTTGAACAAATGTGAGTTGTACATAGTTACTATATATTTTATGCACATACTGGTTGTCTAAACCTTAGACCATTTGAAACAAATTAAGTCAAACTTGTTTTTATTTTAATGAAAAATCATCTGTCTAACTATCATGAGTCATACTAAATTACATAACTAAAAATCACGTGAATATACGGAGAAAAGCTCTCTCTAAAATCCGCCATTTTTAGTCAATTATAACTTAAACTAGATACTCCCGCGTTTTATCGGCTACTCGGCTCCTATTGAGCACAACGTGATGGGTGATAGCTTATAAATAAACACAAAAGCAATCTTCAAATGTTTGGTGTTTAGTAATTAATTTGTTGTCTGATTCGTGGCTTGTTTGTCCGCGAGTCCCTTAAGGGGCCAGTAGAATACCAGCGCGAGGTCCTGTCTTGCACATGCTGAACTGGTCCCATTTCACCGCAGACTTGGGACATTAGTAGATATTTATAAGCTCATGTGGAAAATTTGTATGTGTCACCTGTTTCAGCTTGTGAAATAAAGTTATTTCTTTCTTTCTTTCAAATTCGAACGATTACTTCTGGAGATTAGCACGTTCAAACGACTTTATAATTTTAGTATGAATAATATTATTTTTTTACAGCTGTAAAGAGAACAAATGCGATCATGTTTGAGGACGAAAATCTACTCGTGTCTCAGCTAGATCTTGCTATGCAGAAAGCGCTCGGTGAGGAGGTTGAAGCCGTCGGCGCAGCGGTAAGATTACCTTTACATTGCAACGTTAACGTCGTACATGTAGAATTGTAGATAAAATGTTACGAGTTAGAATATTTTTTTCTAGACCAAAATTCTTTGCCAGCTATTAAAGTACTTTGATGTCCTGCAGCTGAAATTTATACCTGATCGATTTTTAACATTACTTCTATAGAACTCTTGTTAGAAACTTGATTGATCCATAGATTTTGAAATAACTCATAAATTTAGTACCTACTTATATTATAGTTCAATTATTCTTTCTCTTGGTGTGTCCTTCCTAATTTTACAGAGTAGTACATTTTAGTAGCGTGTTTTATACTTGTTAACACATTAAACGCCATGGGGGTCACCGGTTATAGACGTTAGCAGAGGATTTGCCTTCAACAGTTTTCTATTGGCAGTCAAAACCTTAAATTATGTTTATATCATTTAGGTGGCGGAGGAGCTCCAAGTGGAACCGGAACCTGAGTTCAAGGACGCTCACAATCGCCTCAAGGCTTCACTCGTCGATGACTTCAACAAGGTATGTTTATTGTATGAAATATACAAGGTAACACTACTTTGTATATTTCAACAAACAAACACACGGATTGGATTACACGTTCCAACATTTAAATTGTGATTAATGTAATGAACTTAATTCCGCAGGTTCTCAAAGTGAACATTTCCAAACGCATATTGAACGTTGGTACGATAATGGTGAGGATATTCAGCATTCCGAAAATTGTAAGCAGAACCAAGTTGATTCCAGTTTTGTCCCAATATGGTATAACCAGCCTTAGGAAGTCTGAATTTAAGAAACCTCCGATCTACTATGGTACCTGCGAATCATATGAGGCTCACGACAAATTATGTGCTATGGAACCAATTATTGTTGGTAAGTTATAAATTTGGCATAAAATATTAAATTTTAATATTTGTAGTTATTTGTGTTATAGTAAGTTTAATGTCCAACAAAATGCCCTTATCTATTTAAATAAAAATGATATTCCGTTCGACAGTCTCGCTAAAACTCGAGTACGGTTGAACCGAAATGGCTTATTTTGGTCTTGAAATGTTCGAGAAAGTCCAGGGGAAGTTTAAAAGGCTAGAAAGAAATGCTTGAGGCAATACGAAGTTTGCCGGATCAGCTAGTTTAAAGTATTACATCAACATTTTTGTTGTTAACAACCTTCCAGCCCTTATTATCCGAGCGTATGGCGCGTCGCATCCGCGCGCGCCTCAAAGAGCCATCAGACCACCACAGATGGGGCCCAATACGGCCGATGCCGATTCGGAGTCGCGGAGAACCTAACGGGTAACCGGGGCTCCGACTCGACGTGCAGGAGAAGGAACGGGGTGGTTTTTAGTCAGTAAGAGTCTGACACTCTCTTCCGCCTCACCCAGGCGGGAGCAGTCATTCGATGATTTTCCCCCCTAAAAAAAAAGCCCTTATTATAATCAACCTTATTTTTATTAATTGTACCTAGATATTTGCTAAATACAAAATGTGATAGTTTCTCTCCAATAACCAAATTCACCAATAGGTCAACTATCAATTTATTACAGATTATAATC